TCCCTTTATGTTAAAACTTCTGCAATAACTTAAAAATATTTTTTACTAAACAGCATTTTTTGTTAACGATCCAAAGTTTTGTGTTAGTTTTCACATCATGCATTACCTATTTAAGAATTTTGAGTAAATTGCAAGCTAAACATAATTCAAACAAGAAAATTAGCGGCAAGAAGAAAATAAATTGGCAAAAGGTGTAGGTGCGGCATCTTTGTTAGCGGTAGCGAGTGCCGCCTTCGAGGAACATCTCCCGGAGTTATTAATTCAACCGGTGTTCAGCCCGGGGTAGGTTAATTACCAGCTTGTTTATTATTTGGGAAGTAGGCCACTATATTCCTAGCAACCATTTTAAGCTTAAATAAAACAACCTAGCTTACTTGGTAATAACATTAGTTATAGGTATCTTTATTAATTAAAAATTTAAGAGCGTCTATGTACCCATCATCTTTTAAAATTTACTGTTGTTCTTTATTATCGTGATTTAATGCTTTGAATCCTAAAATAATCAAATTGGAATTCCACAATATTTTCAAAATACCAAAAAATAGGAAAAATTCGTAAATGAACCTTAGTAAGGTTTCTTGTCATGTCTTGTCTTGTCAACATCATTACTCGCGCGTGTACTTTATACACAACAAATAATATCCAGTTTTAGGGAATAATAATATACATACGTTTTTCTCATTTAGTTTCTATCTTTAAGACGTAATAACACAGCATGCTGTAGTAAAAACAAAATCAAAAACATTCACTGCAATGGGCCGCACTCGAGTCATTCCGAAAGAGGCAAGCCTCAAATTCTGCATAAATTCGCCGATAGACCGTGTCCGGTTGGCGGCGATCGTGTATCAACTCTCTTAAAATGAATTAGTCAAAAATAACTAATTACACAGAAAAAAATAATTACATATTATCAATGTATGCCAAACATTGACCATTATTTTATTAAATTAATGTAGTTATACATAAATAAAATGTATAAATACATTAATAGAATATTTAAATTTTATAAGCTCATGACCACGTACATTGATATTATGTATAGCATACATTAATATAATGTACAATTTTACATAATATCAATGTATTAATACATTAAATTTATGTAAAAATACATTTAACTAAAGTATATATACATTAACTTTAGCCAAATCATTAAACGTACATTATATTTATGTATAAATACATTAACCAATGTTTCAGGTTTATTAATTGATGTTTTTAATACATTATATCAATGTATAAATTCATTAATCAAGGTAGATTGTTCATTATTCAATAAATTAATACATTGTATTGATGTGCAAAGTTATAAACGCCTACAGAGTATTAATTATATAGCTTCCCGCTTTACTAGCCAACAGTGCAAGGACGTATTTGCTTCTGTTCCAGAGCCCACACCCTAAGAAAAAATTGAAATTATTATTCTTTTGTGTTTGTGAGTCGAATTAGGTGGTTATTGTGAAAGAAAAAAGCAGATAAATAGAAAAAAAAAGGTAAGAAATATCACTTATTAATGTAAAAAAGTAATATATTATAATATATGAAAATAACACTTAACGTTAAATGAGTCGCCGATGTAGGTATTACAATTATTGTCAAGTATTGACTACAACCATTGTTTTTAGAGGTTGGGTTGGTAGGTACCACTAAAATCAAAAAACTAAAATTAACGTTTCCTACACATAACAGAAATTCAATTTGTATACAATGTAATTAATCATAAGCATAATAAAAACGGCTCTAACCCAGCTATACACTATTATTATAATAGTGTATTAGCTGTGAATCTAACATTATTTTAACTCAACTTCTTATCTATTAGATACAAACTTTACACACAAAATTTAATTTTTAATTATTACTTTTTATTTTTACAATTGCGATACACACTTTTTATCGAAATTACCTTAGATGCTTGTGAAATAATATTGTTGCTATTGTTTCAGATGCACGAGATGCAACAATTTTTCTGGTAATCCATGGCAATCCAACTGGCAAAATAGTCAAAAAAAGATAACACAGAAAAAAAGGTGACAACTAAATTTACGATAAAGGATTCACAAGACGCATCTTGATCATTTAAAAAAAGCAAGTCAATGCACAGCCGTTTTATTTATTTTTTGGATAGGAAAGGATGAGATAAACATTAAAGAAATCTATCTTTATTTTGATTTTGTCTGATATACCTAAATATTTTAGTGTATTAAGGGCAGTAGATATTTGCTTTAAATGTATTTATTTGTTTAATTTAGATTTTTAGAATTAGTAATGATTTATAATTTCTTAGAAAACTTTTTTTTTTAATTTAAGACGACAAAAAATTTTGGTAAAGTTCATTTATTAAAAGAGTATTTAAATAAAAAATCTAATATGTATAAAAATGTGGTTTTTTTCCTTATCCAAAAACACCCTATACAGTGCGGTTCACAAAAGATTGGCGGTCTTAGGAATGTGATGCAATTCTTTATTTCTGTATAACGGCCAACTCTTTATTGATATCGGGATAGGGTTTATTGCATACGTTTGCCTGCAACGGCTGCAAATATATGCAAAACCCTAGCATTATTATTATAATTAAAAGTTATATAGAAATTAAGGATTGCATCACATTCCTAAGACCGCCAATCTTTCGTGGAACGCACAGTATAATTATAACAATCAAAATCAAAATCAAAATCAAAATCAAAATCAAAATCAAAATCAAAATCAAAATCAAAATCAAAATCAAAATCAAAATCAAAATCAAAATCAAAATCAAAATCAAAATCAAAATCAAAATCAAAATCAAAATCAAAATCAAAATCAAAATCAAAATCAAAATCAAAATCAAAATCAAAATCAAAATCAAAATCAAAATCAAAATCAAAATCAAAATCAAAATCAAAATCAAAATCAAAATCAAAATCAAAATCAAAATCAAAATCAAAATCAAAATCAAAATCAAAATCAAAATCAAAATCAAAATCAAAATCAAAATCAAAATCAAAATCAAAATCAAAATCAAAATCAAAATCAAAATCAAAATCAAAATCAAAATCAAAATCAAAATCAAAATCAAAATCAAAATCAAAATCAAAATCAAAATCAAAATCAAAATCAAAATCAAAATCAAAATCAAAATCAAAATCAAAATCAAAATCAAAATCAAAATCAAAATCAAAATCAAAATCAAAATCAAAATCAAAATCAAAATCAAAATCAAAATCAAAATCAAAATCAAAATCAAAATCAAAATCAAAATCAAAATCAAAATCAAAATCAAAATCAAAATCAAAATCAAAATCAAAATCAAAATCAAAATCAAAATCAAAATCAAAATCAAAATCAAAATCAAAATCAAAATCAAAATCAAAATCCAAATCCAAATCCAAATCCAAATCAAAATCAAAATCAAAATCAAAATCAAAATCAAAATCAAAATCAAAATCAAAATCAAAATCAAAATCAAAATCAAAATCAAAATCAAAATCAAAATCAAAATCAAAATCAAAATCAAAATCAAAATCAAAATCAAAATCAAAATCAAAATCAAAATCAAAATCAAAATCAAAATCAAAATCAAAATCAAAATCAAAATCAAAATCAAAATCAAAATCAAAATCAAAATCAAAATCAAAATCAAAATCAAAATCAAAATCAAAATCAAAATCAAAATCAAAATCAAAATCAAAATCAAAATCAAAATCAAAATCAAAATCAAAATCAAAATCAAAATCAAAATCAAAATCCAAATCCAAATCAAAATCAAAATCAAAATCAAAATCAAAATCAAAATCAAAATCAAAATCAAAATCAAAATCAAAATCAAAATCAAAATCAAAATCAAAATCAAAATCAAAATCAAAATCAAAATCAAAATCAAAATCAAAATCAAAATCAAAATCAAAATCAAAATCAAAATCAAAATCAAAATCAAAATCAAAATCAAAATCAATATATTTAAAAATTAACTAACATTGCACAAAATGAGATATAGCGGATGTCATAACAAATACCAAAATATTGTTAAAGTTGAATAGGTATATTGTTTGTGTTTTGAGCCAAACTGTTTGCATCTTTGTTTCTTCCATTTAACCATGGAGCCTATATGCATTTAACTTAAACAATAATTCGAAAACGATTAAAGAAATTAATTTCTTTTAACTTTCAGAAACAGTCAAAGATGATGACTTATCTTAAATTAGTCAAACTTTAACTATTTAAGTATTATTATTTAAAAATAACTATTTAAAAGTGAAAACGACTATTTTATTAGTACCTACACAATGCTGGTACCAATTCAAATAGTGGTTAAATTATAAAATGTATTTAATTAAATTAATTGATGATAAACATTTTGAGGAAGCTAAGCGTCCCTTGGAATTCAAATCTGATTTTCAAAAGGTAACACAAATTTATTGGTTAATTAATTTATTTAAAAATATAATATTTAAGCCTCTGTCTAATATTTAAAAATGCTTTACTGGAAAAATTAAGTGAGTAAACCAATTAACAAACACACAAAATTAAAAAAAATGAAATGGTACTGCAATTTTAAATATTAACCAAAATAATTTTTTATACAACCCACCTGAAATTCCAAAGACATATTTTTGTTATTTTGATAATTTGATTTAATGTAAATGTATTATTTTTTTATAGGCCAATACATATTCTGTATATTATACATGCTTAACAAAGGCGGATCCACGGAGGGGTTCCAGGGTACGGATCCCCCCTTGAAGAAATCAAAGTTTATAATTGTATTGCGGGACAAAAAATGCTATGTAAATAGCACAGAAAATATTATGACTGGGTATTTATTTTTAAAAAGAAAGATAGGGACTAAATTTATTACAAAAATGTTACAAAAACGTTTACACATGAGTAAATTATCGATTTTTTTTTTGAAAAATTCTTGTAGGTAAGTTCAATGCGGATATTCAAAGAAGCAAGGCCATTCAATCGGTCCTGGCCAAATGTGTGTCACAGGTAAATTTTAATCCTTCTTAAGTAGAAAATTATCGTTCCGTGTTGTCGTTACAGGCAATACTGCTAAAACTCTCAGGACTGTATTTAAATTTTTCACATTCACATGTCTCGCTGTTAATTAACTAAGAAATACCGAAAAATTGAGATTTTTTACATGAAAAGATTCTTAATAAAAGATACTCACTGATAAAGCATCAAGTGCATTTTTGATGTTCTGATCATGGATTCGTTGTCTCCACATTTTAACTTCTGACGTGAAATTTTCCTCTGAACACTCCAATATTTCTTTATAAAATTGATAAAGACCTGTGCATTTCCTTTGATCAAATACTTAAATATTTGGAATCGGCCAAACCTTTTCCTGTTTTGAGTTGTTTTACTTAAATATGTCGCATTTTTGGGCAACGACATAATATTTTTTCCACGAATTCATCATTTTCAGCTCGATGCCGTAGAATAGCACAGAAATTACCTTCGTTCATTTTTCCTTTTTTATCGTTTTTGGTGTTAGGTTCATCTTGAAACAAAGTTTTGTCATCTCTATGACCACGAATAACGATTCCTTGTCGTCCACACAAAAGAATTGTGCTTCTGGTTTTTCCTGTTTGGAGGTCAATTTGCAGATCAATTGATTTACTTTTTCCAAGCTCAATATCGCGTAGGTATTCGATACCCAAAATGGATTTTTTATGGTAGTTATTGTTCTCATGTTTTCGGGACGTCTCCTTTGCATGCTTCCATGTATTAAAAGGTTGCGAGTCAAGCTTTCCCAGCTTCATATCACCTATTCCACCAGTAGAAACTCCAAAAGCTACGTAATACTTACAATATACACCATCCTTTTTGGCAGAATATGATAACCAGCGAAATTCTTCCAACCATTTTGTTTGGAAAGACAAATTCTTGAATCATTACCTATTTTTAGTATTTCACATGTCATTTTTCAAAAAACGCAGAATATTGTCTTGAAGATGAGTCGATGCACTTTTAGAGGTCTCTTGAATATCAGGAATCGCTACACTGTGGGTCGTTGAAACGGTGTCCGGGACCAACTCTTTCGATGTCGAATTTTCAATCTTGTTTAACGAAATATTATTTAATTAGGTTGGAAATGGTTTTTGAATCTAGATTTTAAATTTTACATTCTCGAAATATGATTGTTTCAGTATATTTTTTAACTATTTATAAAGGATTTTTTAAAGGTTAAACTATTCAAAATGCTAATTTGTTCTAAAGATTTGTTATTGAGTAAAATTAAGCTTGTAAAAGACAAAGTGTCGATTTAACACAATAAACATTTTGAACTCACCGATTTTTATTTTTTTATTTTATGGATCGGATTCCGGATCAAGCCGAGTAAAATACGAAAAAAAGTCCTCGTCATATTGCAAGATAGATTAAGAACCACACAGAAAACTTATAGCTTTTTTCGATGAAAATTTGAAAAGATACCTTGATCGATGACAATGCGATAACACACGGTGACAATATAACAAAGTAGAATGTTTTTAAAACAGTAAAATTGGCTAAAAATTACGCACACATTTAATAAACTATATCTTTTAATCGAACAAAAAAATGTATATTATTTTTTTTTAAGTTTAAATTACACCTTAATCTACATATACAAAAATTCCTATATAAATAAAAAAATAAAAATTAAAAGTTATAACGTTTTAAATACACATTGGAAAAATTAAGAGAAAATAAATTCATATGTCCACGTTGATATCTAAATACGCACATATGGAAAAGTTATGAATTTTTATTTATCGCGAGCGCTCGTACCTAACTAAGACATTGTCTACGCACTCAAGATTTTCGTACCCACAGATCATAAGTTTTGGTTGAATTTATTAAATATGAATATAATTTTTTCCGATATGATTAATAATTAATTACCTATAGGTATATTCATAACAAATTATTAGGTATTAATTAATAGATAATTCTTTGCTTTGTAAATATCTTAAAGGAAAAATATTTTATAAATTAATTAATAATCCCCTGTATGGCAGTTATTGAATTTTATTGTATTTTCGCAATAATTTTACCAAAAATACAACTAGGGAGTTTGATTCCTATTGTCTATTGTATCAACAATCTGTAAGATTTTGTTGTTAAATAAATGGTAGTTGCCCATTTAGTGTTTACTATACATAGCAAATTTTATCTTCTGCGAATAGTTTAAGAATAAATTGGCAAATAACATATATTTAACAAAAAATCTTACAGATTATTGAATTTTGTAGATGATGAATTTGTCCATTTTGTATTTGGCTTTACACAACAGTTAAAATATTTAACCAAACTTAACAAAAATTTAAATATAGCGGGTGAATGGTCCAGACAATAGGAACCAAACTGCCTAGTTGTATATTTGATTGCCTATCTATGGTTTCATGCGCTGCCACTAGAGTTCGATTTCTACCTTCGGGGTTTTCTAAGCAGTTAAAACATCTATAATATTTTTTGCTGCTTGGCCTGTCGGCGCCACCACTAACGTAACATTAATTTCGTATATTGACGCGTTGGCCCAGGATATATTTATATCACAAAAACCAATAATACGTTGTGTTCTTTAGAGAATATAAATGAAATATATGTATTTTCTAAATTTAGAAGTTGGCTTAAGAAAGTCACTTGGTAGGACTTTGATGTGTCAAGCATAGTACATGTATTTAAATTATGTATTTTTTTATAATAAAAATAAATTTCCTAGATTATCACAAGACATAACCTAAACTAAAGACTACTTAATTAACCCGTAACCATGGGCGCCGGCAGAGGGGGAAGCAACCCATCCAAAATAATAATACTATACAAAAGCGCATTTAAAGCTCATTTAAATGTTTAAACAGACATATACTTGAAACTGCACGTAATTTGTTTTGTCCCCCCCTAAATCTAACATTATAAGATTATTTCAAAGCGTTTGACACCATAGTCATAGACTTATGTTGGCCAAACTTAAATATTATGGGTTTGACGATCTTGCCTTGAGACTGTCTAGGTCTTACTTGAATGACATATCTCAACGGATTATCTGCAATAGACAAACATCCTCTCAAATGAACATACTGTCTGGCGTTCCTCAGGGTAACGTCCTGGAGCCTCTCTTTTTCTTAATTTTCACAACAAGTATTTTTAAAGCGACTGCAAGGCCCAGGCATATGCTGACGATGGCCAGATCTATTGTCATTTTGATATAAAGAACGCAAAAAATGCCGAACTACTAATTAATTATGATTTAAATAAACTTCACAAGCTTTCTCTAGAACATAACCTAAAATTAAACGCCAGTAAGTCATATGTCCTCTTATTTGGAACAAAAGATAAAGTATCTATTTTAAAACAGCAGCTTACTTTGCAAATTGATAATATTCCTCTAAATGTCGTCGACTCCGCTAGAAATCTTGGAATCATACTAGATACTGAGCTGAGATTTCGTGAACAAGTGAAAAGATTAAAACAGTAATCGTTTCTAAGCCTTAAACTTCTTTACTCAAACAAACATTTTCCCTAATAAAACACAATTTATGTGAAAGTGTGGTGTTATCGAATTTTAACTATTGTGTCTTTATTTATGGCACATGCTTAGATGTACGTATACAAAAAAATCAAAATAGCTGCTTTAGACATATTTTTTACTTTTAAAAATACGATCGCGTCTCTAAATTGTTTGAAAAAATTGGTTGAAGATGGACAAGCGCATGAAACTTCATTTGGTGAAGTCCACCCCTCTAAAATCTAAGCAGCCAAACGGTAACATAACGCGGGCCATAAGCGTGCCATAAGCGTGCCACAAGCGTGCCGGCTGGGGGCAAGCTGAACTGCCTACACAAAGAAAAGTAATCTCTTGATTTTACTATATCTGTCTTGACTCAAATAAATTATTTATTTCGATATGATACGAGAATATATTTATTTAGTGGAAAACTTTTATTTGACTTTTTAAACTGATGGTTTGTTTAATACAAGTAAATATTTAGTTGACTTTTTATCTCAGGTTTAGTAGAATCTTACTTAAAGAAACAAAACATTTACTTAAAGTAAGTAATTCATTTTTTTAAATTAAATGTGAAGCTTTCTTAAAGAAACAAAATATTTACTTACATGAAGAAAACAATTTATTTCAGACAAATAATTAGTACCTTTTAATATTATAATTTCACGAAATATATAGTGATTGAACCAAACAAATGTTTGCTTGTTTTAATACTATAATTTATTTATTTTAATGTTGTTAATTACTTGATATTTGGTCGGGAAAATTAATTCAAAAACGTTTATTCCAATATTTTTTATTTGAACAAAACAAGTGTACACTTGTTTTGTTGTAAATACGTACCTATTTACAATAAACAATAAAAACACACAATATAAAATTAACAATAAACAAAACATATAATATATGAGCGGACAAAAATAGGAACAAAAAATACTTCAGTCACTGAAGTTCAGTGTAAATATTAGTGCACGGCATTAATAAAATACACCAAGTCTGTGGGTAAAAGTCATAAGAGGATAAGTCAAAACAAGCAATTTTTCAGCAGAACCTTAAACGTGTTCGCATTAATTCAGGAAATATATTTATGGGACATTTGAACATTTTCAAAAACTTAATTTATTATTATCAGATAGGTATCTTTGTTGAAAACACCTACCTAGGTAGGTACCTATAGTTTAAAAACAAATACATATAGTTTGCCAACCAAAATTACTTGCACTTGTCAAATACAAAAAGAAACGGTTTATTTTTAGTTTATGGCCTGTAAGTAAAATGTGCAATTATATTTAAAAGTAACAAGTCAAGTCTGAGACATGCATGATCCAAAATAAAATAGGTACCCATATTATCATATAACTTTGTAGTTCCCAAACTACCTAGGTACACAAAATTTTAATTAACTAAATCACTTTTACTTACCAACAAAACTAAAAAGCAAATGGGTTAAATTATTTTCTTTGAAGAATTCTTCCATACTATTAATCATAAGCACTTAAACACAAAACTATAACTGTTGATTAAACACCTCCTTCTCTTAAGTTAAGAGTCTTTGCCAAGGACGCTCTGCGAGTTTGTTTGCAAATGCTGCCGACAGCCGGACAAGCGCCTTTGTCAAATGCTCTAATTGGCTCTGCGAGTCACGTGGACATAAAAGCAAATAAATATGTATTTGCTTCAAGTAAATGTATTTTTGAAACAAACAAATCACGTGTTTACGTTAATTATATGAAATACATTTTATCAATTCTATTATTTTGTTAAAATAAGATATTATATGCTTGTATTAACATTTTATAAAACTAAATCCATACAACCTATATCCAAACAATTTAATTAATTGCTCTAAATAAATATTTCTTTACAATTAATCACAACAATAAGTTGTTTTCAAGAAACTCATGATTTACAACCAAATAATAGTATTTTCTTATTGTAAACAAGAAGTTACTACGAATAAGACAATTTTACTTTATACAAGAAAAACTGTTTCAAATAAATGCATTTTCTTAAATCAAGAGATTACTTTTCTCTGTGTATGCCGAGCGATAGCCGACTGTTTAGTGCTTAGTGGAAGCTAAGTGGAGCAAAAAAATTAAATGTCGAGGTCATGTTGAACCCCACGGTAGTAGTTTCAAGTTAATATAAATGATAGATTAAAAAAATAAAATTGTTTTTAACATCTAAATGTTAATGATATTTTTTACCTAATGGTTATTGTAAGTTTTGTGCTTTTTAGTTTTAGGTTTAATTTTTTGTCTGTATTCTGTATTCTATGGAAATAAATGTATTTTTTTTACTAAACACTTTATAGGTTTTACTATAGGCTATCGACTTTTGTCTTTTTGCCTAGTATTATTATAATTATAATAATTATTATTATTACTCATTTTATGATAGACTTGTTTTTCTCTTTTTTAACATGACTCTTTTTATATAATATTATTTGTAATTAATTATGATTGAAAATTAAAAAAAAAGATCAATAAAATTAGGACCGTTATGTATAAATTATTCAAAGGGAGTAAACGAAATTAATTATATAAAGGGTTCCTATTTAATCGTGTCACACAATTTGTGTGAGTAAAAATAATTTTTGATGGTGACTAAAATCTCCAGTCCCAACCTCTCCACTTTGTTCTGACCACTTCAAAGCCCTCCATTTGTATGATTCGGGACAGTTAAATTCTTCGATATTCAAAGAGTAGTTAGAAATTTAATTAATTTTCCAAAAGTTTTGTTCTTTACTTTTCAGCGGTAGCAAAGTTTATGAAGGTGTATGTAAAACCGACAGAGTAAAGAATTAAAAAAATTTTGTTAAAGTTTTACCTCGTTGAATGATATGCTGTCAAACGAAAATTGCATACAAACTAGTGTTTGAGCTTTAAAGTAGATACCAACGTCATAGACCCGGCTCGACAAAGTAATACAGAAATAAAAGGGTTTGTTATTCAGACTTTTACCAAAGCATAATTTCGAAACAGCAGCCGGAATAAAATAAACTTTTATCCCTTGACATGGTTTGTATTTAAATATAAATGGCAAAGCTAATTCTTCCATACAATTTTTATTCACAGAAATTGTATACTGGGAAATAATACAATAAATCATGTTTGAACTCCCCTGTTTATTTTTATATAACTATCTCTCATAAAACCTTTCAAAATTAGGGATTATGGGAGTAAGTTAAAGGTATAAAACAAATAACAAATAATAATGTAATTTATTTGGATAAAGCAACAACAGTAACCATAACCCAAACGACATTTAACTTATTTTCTGAAAGAGAACTCTGAAAGAAAGGGACATCCTACAAACCCTTAAAACCATACAAAATCTCCATACTACGACCAAAACATACGATAAAAGATGTAAGCGCGTTTCAAAGCGGCAGTGGTTACTACGCATAAATGACGTATGTTACGAAATTTGTTAAACATACGGCAAAATGCTTTGTAATTTTTAAATAACCTAGGCACATACGTGGTCTTTTGACACATACGGCTTCTATTCTAAGTAATATTTTCTTAATACAAACAAATCACCTAATTTTTGTTTTTTTTTTCTAAATAGTAAAGAATTTGATACAAAAATTGAAAATATTTATCTTTAAAAATCTAAGACACAAAATCTTATTTTTGAAAAAATAAACAACGGTGTTTTTTCGTTGGACGGCAGATTAGTTGGTTACTGATAAAAAAGTTCTTTCTACATTGTCGGGAAGCGCGAGAAGCGTGCCGGATCCGCGGGAAACTTTTTTTAAAATAGTTTTGTAGGGCGAGAGACATTTTCGAAATTGGCCGAACGAAATACACGAATCGACGGGTAAAAGACCAAAGTTTGACATACCAAAAGATGAGCTTTATCGAATGAAAACTAATCGGCCAGAAGCCTGTTTAATTTTTGTTGGGTATTTAAAAAAGTTAACCAATTAAAATCCCCAAAATAAAATCAATAACAGGGGGATCCAACAAAATATTAGGTAACAATGCTGCATTGCCAAATTTAATTGCGGTGTTGCCAGCTTTTGTAAAACTTTCCCAAAATAAAAAATATAATTAATAAAATTATACACAGGGGAACCCAACAAAGTATTCAACAACACAGGTATGACAGGTGTCAAGTGAACAGGTGGCAGATGAAAGGTGACAGGTGCCAGATGACAGGTGACAGATGTCAAGTTGACAGATGTATATGTACAAAGATGACAGGTGACAGATGACAAATAGCTGATGACTGATGACATGTGACAGATAAAAGGTGACAGATATGACAGATGAAAATTAACAGATGACAGGTGACAGATGACAAATGACAGATGAAAAAGGTCAGATGACAAATGACAGATGACAAATGACAATTGACAATTGACAGATGACCGGTGATAAATGACAATTGACAGATGACATGTAAGAAATTAAAAATTTTCTTTAAAATTACTACTCAGTTTAGGTGGAGCGGTCGGGGCGCGATTCCAACCCGCAGCGATCACCAAGCTCAGCTTGTTTATTAAATAAACATATAAATAAATTTTATTGAATACATATTTATTAAATGTAATCAATTTTTTTTTTAATCATATATTATATCACGAGAACTATGAATTTAGTCGGTTAAACTAGGCTCAGTAGTTTTTTCTTTGGTTTTTCTTGGAAAATGTTGAATGCTCCCGCTACGCGGTGGGTTTTATTTTTAAATATTGTTACAAAATTTAAAATATACATTTAATTCTACCTTAGTTACCTTCAGTAATTAAGTGAATTACGGCGCATTGGCATAGAGAGACAGACCAGCCCTAAACCTAAAACAAAATAAATATTTATGAGCATTTATGTCAACTAATAAATAACGCGTACCCCTGGTATGAGCTCAACCAATAACAGCAAACGGATAAGTCATTAAAAACAAATCCCCAATAAAGAGTCACCAACATACAGCCCCAAAACTATCTGGAGGGCCAAGATAGTTCTGCGCCAAGCCAGTTTGTTAACAACCAGCTGGAAGGCCAAGCAATACTGTTTAACTCAGTGGAGAGCCGACATGAGCTAGGGCAATACAATATTTATCATCTAGGTTATGCAATAGACTTGAGGGAGTACCACTCCAAATCTAACCTCGTGTAATTCACAAACGGCGAACCGTAAATTGGGACAATGTACTACTATTCATTAAAATCAACTACGCTAACAATAAATACTCAATAGGCTAATAACCTACCTCTTTTCCACGGTCTTATTGGCTTTGTTATCTATGATTGGCACCTTTTCAACAAAATTTATTTAATTCACTGTCAAACTAATAATGACAGAATGCCGGAAAATCACAGAACAAATGGGTAAAAACACGGCAAACGTGCTTATGTTCCTTTGCCGCTAGATGGTGTTATGTGCATAATAAACTCAATTTTATTAAAGTATTTTATTTTAAAAGTTAAACAAAAATATCTTGTTACATTCGGCCATCCTGAGATATTGCTTCGTCCCGAAGCACTTCTTCCTCAGAATCGCTCAGAACCACTCCATCTTCATTTTCGGCATTAGGTCCATCTGATTCATCAGACACTCTACTTAAATAACAAAATAACGTTTCAGGAATTTGATAACTGCCAGCCTTCGCACCCGTCCTTATTACGACATCAGAAATCCCACCAATTATACATGAGACAGCATTACTACCTGTTATTTCTAACTCATTCAATAAGGACAATTTACAATAGTAATAAGTAGTATAGTTTTCTTCTGGTTTCTTTACACGAGCCATCATACGTTGCAACAGTGCATGGTAATCGGTCTGACTTGGAAATGCCGCCTGTAGTTTTGTTTTCCACTCCTGCCATGTTAGCATCATAGTTGGCAAGCTTTTGTACCAAAGATTAGCCATCCCCTTGAATTTTCTAATTGCAAAGAAGATAGTAGACTCCTCTGTCCAATGAAATACAGCTTTACACTCATCTACCTTCTTACACCACTTTTCGCTAGAAAAATCTGGCTTACTTGGATCAAAATCGGGCAAGGCTTCAGATCCGATGCTGGCATTGCTTGGACGATGATGTGATGTCTCCAAAAAGTTGGCCATAACATCAGTAAACTGACGAAGAACATCTACTGGTTCAATGGCAGCATCGGAGCTTGGTGTGCTTGCTTCAGATGTTCCAGAGTTCTCATCGTCTCGCTGTGATTTTGACATGATCAGGCTAGCTTGGGTTACTGCACTTCTTTTCATACCCCTCGGTGGCGCCATTTCAACGTCACTTGCACTTTCTCTAATCACAAATTATACACAGGTAATATCACAAATATCTTTGCCAAAAACAACAAAACAAATGAAAACTGCGCAAAACAGTACAAAGTACGTATACATTTAGTTTACGAAAATAATGAATGCTTAAGGTCAATGCCAGTCTGAATCTGTCTATCCCACTTCTGAATTGTTACAAAATTTAAAATATACATTTAATTCTACCTTAGTTACCTTCAGTAATTAAGTGAATTACGGCGCATTGGCATAGAGAGACAGACCAGCCCTAAACCTAAAACAAAATAAATATTTATGAGCATTTATGTCAACTAATAAATAACGCGTACCCCTGGTATGAGCTCAACCAATAACAGCAAACGGATAAGTCATTAAAAACAAATCCCCAATAAAGAGTCACCAACATACAGCCCCAAAACTATCTGGAGGGCCAAGATAGTTCTGCGCCAAGCCAGTTTGTTAACAACCAGCTGGAAGGCCAAGCAATACTGTTTAACTCAGTGGAGAGCCGACATGAGCTAGGGCAATACAATATTTATCATCTAGGTTATGCAATAGACTTGAGGGAGTACCACTCCAAATCTAACCTCGTGTAATTCACAAACGGCGAACCGTAAATTGGGACAATGTACTACTATTCATTAAAATCAACTACGCTAACAATAAATACTCAATAGGCTAATAACCTACCTCTTTTCCACGGTCTTATTGGCTTTGTTATCTATGATTGGCACCTTTTCAACAAAATTTATTTAATTCACTGTCAAACTAATAATGACAGAATGCCGGAAAATCACAGAACAAATGGGTAAAAACACGGCAAACGTGCTTATGTTCCTTTGCCGCTAGATGGTGTTATGTGCATAATAAACTCAATTTTATTAAAGTATTTTATTTTAAAAGTTAAACAAAAATATCTTGTTACAATATTTTGTATGAAACTATTTTTCAAAAAGAAAAATCAAATAAAAACTTACTAAGCATAGTTTGACAGATTAAAGAAAACTATTTGACAATTAATAAAATCTGACGTATATATAAAATCGTAAACAAAAATCCAATATGGACGCTAAAATTTAATCTCTGTTAAACTGTTCTAGTGATTTAATCGCTTATCTAAACAAAATTTATTCGAAAATTCAAGGCTTTTGATTGGTTCATTTTATAATAAGGGAAATAATTATTTTTAATAATATATTTAATAGTTTTTCGAATACAATTTTTTTTATTAATATTATTAATATTAATATAAATGTACCTACATAATATGTACTACTAGTTTTTTACACTTAACATCATATACATATTATGTATATGATGTTAAGTGTAAAAAACTAGTAGTTTAAAGTAAGTGTTTTAATACCAATAAATTAAAAAAAATCGAACATATTTTTTAAAATTTATTGGTAAAATTCTAAATTAAAGTTGGCACACTTAATCGTTTATCACATATAATTAAACAAAACAGGTTTTAAATTTTTTCAACCAACAAATTTGTTTTTATCTTTTTACTAATCTTTCTACTATTCTTTACACCAAAAAGGCCCACTTTGAAATTTGAATAAGGAACGCACCCTCATAATTCTAAAATTGAAGTAAAAATGAAGTAAGTGTTATACATGCTAATATTATTAATATACATATTTTTGTGACATAAATTAAAGCCTTTTTCACTAAAAATAAATGTTTTATATTATTTTAAGCAAATGAACTGTAAATAAAAAATGCTCAATTATAATTTCTTTTGTTAACTATACTTTAACAGATACTCAATTCTTTGTTAAATGTGGCCTACAGTTTCTAAATAATAATTTTCTGAAAAATTTCTTAAAAAATAAGTGACAATATTATAATTATTAAAAAAAATATTTTAATTATTTTGTTGTCAATTTAACAAAATTAATATTAAATTTTTAATTTTATATTGACTATAAATAAAAATAACTAAGAAAGAGTTTATAAATGTTTTTCCTCGTTTATAATTTGTTTACCAAGTTCTAGGGAGTTATAAACCATTGCAAAATAAAGCAATTTATTTGCCAAATTAAAAAAACTAAAAAACCATTATAAAACGTTTTTAACTCTCGTCCAAGGATAAAACTAGAGAAAAGGACAAAAATTGGCTGTGTATTATTCCTGCGAAGAAGATCAGATGCTGCGAAATACCCCCACTTCTCAACTCTCTCCCACCCGTTTGTCATTTTGCATCGTCGCAAATGTGAATCCGGCAACCTCGCCTATCATTCCTGCAGACAGGCCCAGTCCGGATTCTATCGCTGCGTCCTGCAGATCCTTTAGATTTCAGCTCCCATTCTATTCTCATCTTCTAAATGTCCGTGTTTATTCCACCAACACTTTAAATTATTCCCCTTATACACATTAATTAACAGACTCTCTTTAAGTAATTTATATGACATTTTGAACTATAGTGCACGATTTTGTAAAACATTGTGCATGTAAATACAAAAACAAACTTTTCTGTGAAGTTTTGATGATAACGAAGTAAATGGATTATTTAATCCTGTAGGACACTTGTCATTAGGTAAAAGTTAAATTACATAATCATATTTAATAAAACAAACATACGCCTGTCAACCAATTCTAAAGAATGATTTATATTTATTGTGTATTATGTTAAGAGAATTTAAATTATTAAACTTTTAAACTAGCAAAGTCATAAGGTTAATAATTAAATTTACATATTATTCAAACCTTCAATTTATTCTTTTAAAAGTTTTGCCCGCATAAATATACACAAACTTTCCGATTATTTATAAAAGACCTGTATAATAACAATTGTAGAGGTCTTAAATAAAATAATACGATTAATTTTGTAGATTGGTTTCATGTTAAAATTATCCATAAAAATGTTTCCTTAAAACACGCGAGCGGCAGGCATACAGCTAGCCAAACAATAAAAACAGGATATGACATCGTGACGTTATTTTCCTAAAACAATACAAAACTATACAAAATCTATGATTTTGAATATTGATTAAACATCCTCGTTGTTTTATAATTTCTCCACTTATTTATTTAAAACTTCACTGCTATTTTAGGTTATTTAAAGTCAAGGACTGGAAAGAAAAAACATAATATGTAGGTTCGAAAATTTTTTGTGTACATAGGTTCTAAAACAAGATTTCAATGCAATTTATTGGTATGTTGTTGTTGATTATAATTATCAACTACATGATGGAACTACTTTTCAAGGATTCTGAGGCTGGTACAGTGTAAATAAACTACAAGAACTACAATTGTTTTTTTTAACAACTGTTGATGTAGGTCCTAAAAGAAATTAAAACATACGCGATTCCCTCATGAAGTTGGGATATTTTTTTCGTGTTTAGGACACCTGAAAAATACGAAAAAAGGGGAGGTCGGCCGAAAACCTTGTTTTTACTGTATTTTACTTTTTGGTCGGTTTCTTGGCGGCTCTTTTGAAGTTGACGGAGTGGGCAGTGTTTCTTCTTTTATGATTTCATAATTTTCTAGTTTTAAATTATATTAATCCACCACTGATTGCCATCTGACAAATCAGATTCTTCATCCGTTTCTGATTGTGGATGTTCATTACCACCTTTTTTTCCATATTCTTCCTCGCATAAACTAAAAATAATATTTACTTTGTAAAAATCGTAATTGGATTTATTAGATCTGTAAAAGGAAAAATAATGGTACCTCAAAGTGCTCATTGGCAACTAACCTTACCAGGTATAATTGTAACAATGTAAAACATAACAATGCTAAATTTTAATACGAAATACAAATGCCTTGTCGAGTCTTGACTGTTGACAATAAAGAATTTTAACCCTGGAGTGGTCGAGCGTTTTAAGATCGGGTGGAAAAAGGGCGGGGGTGCAGATATATAAAACAGATTATATATATTATATTATATATGTATATATTATCTCTAGTTTGCGTGCTTCCTGTTTACCTCGTAAAAATGTTTTCCCGGTATGTCTCAAACATGAAGAATTTCATTGCCCTGAATGTGTGGCTCCACCGCAAATTTTTTTATAATCTAGTTCCTTAGGTGCGTTTTAGGAAAAAAATATTTTTTTAGTTTTTTTATGCTATAATAATACATTTTTTACTTTTGTTTACCTCCGATGTTTTATTTGCACATTATAGCCATTTTGTATTTTTAGGTATTTTTCATTTCTAAACAATTAAACTTGTTCAAAAATGGATAAATACATTTAAAATATATCCAAATAAGAAAAACAATAGCTAAAAAGAAAACAAAATATAATAGTTACTGAAATTCATATTTTTTAAAATTGAGTCTGTCAGACGCCACCGTTCATGTTCTGCTAAGAGGCGCCACCACTCTGGATACACTCCAAGTTTACCTTGCGCGTTCGATTTCTCTGGTATATCCCTAGATATAAGCAACTGTCAACTGTTCGAAAACAGCAAGTATATGCCCAGAGTGCACTCTCGGTTATCTAAGGCTTTAAGCTTTAGACTTGGTTAAGTTTTACCCGTCATGCGCATATATACCCTATAGGGTACATCAAACAATAATTTGTATTTACCTTCATATAATTCAATAAAACAAAAACGAAAAACATTAAAATAATTATTTTAAAAGAATTTATTTAAAATAAATTATTTAAAAAATATCAATTCTAAAAAACAAAACAAAATCTATCACAAAAACTTGAATAAATCATATAACTAAAGGGTTGAAATTCAATAATTTAATATTTGTATGTATGCAATTAACTAACAAGCAAAACCAATTGATTTTAGAACACTCCAACATAAAGTTCATACTCTCTAAAAATGAATTAGTCAAAAATAACTAATTTAATAGTTAATAGTGGCTGCTTTTTCACTTGTGCTATGGTTAAGCATCAAATACCATGGTATCCCAAAATTTAATAGCCAATTCTTATGTAAAATTGTACTCTGAATCCGAAAAT